AAATAACCAATTACACAGTTTAGTTTTTCTTTTCACGAGATTTAATCTTTTGAGCCTGGTTGGTCCGCGAATTGATTATTTGTCGAATAAGACGAAAGTGGTCTTATTATATTGGGGGTGAACTAAACACGGCGTGACTTTTTTTTCACCTGGAAAATGTTGTTTGGATGGAAAGTATGCTTACAGCTGGTCGCGGTGCACTGCTCTGCTTGCTTGCAGAGGTGAACACAGGTGTCGCAGCAAAATGTGAAGGCCGCCGCTGCCACCAGGCGCAGATCACCGTCGATCAGAGGCTGTGACCAGACTGATGTCTCTATTCGAATTTCAGCACTACCAATTTAGTTGCACAAATTCTGCAAATTTTAAGCTATATGAACTCAAGAACAGACTGCACAGATCCATGGTGGAGAGCGACGGCTACGCACCTGCTGATAGGATGGCGAGCTCACAGAAGAGGAAGAACATGAGGAGCATGCCGGCGTCCCCGAGGTAGATGAGGCTCTCCGACCGGCGAGGATACTGCCGTGAAGCGGCACCGATACCCGCCGACAGCCACCACGTAGAGCTCCAGGAGATAGGGCCCGTGGACAGGGGCTCCACGTGCAGACCAGGAACACCGGCGGCTCAGCGCGAATCGAGTGACGACCGGGAACAGCGTCCCCCGCTGCACGCGGCAGCCGAAGGACTCCATCGGTGGCGCCGCCGTGAGATTCTCTTCTATCGCTGGAGTACGGCAATACGCCAATACGGCACCGCGCGAGATCGGTCGGTGGGTACAGCCGTGTGGGTAGGGCCGCAGGGCGGGGGCGCGACAGCGGCGGCCAACGGCGATGGCGGCGGAGTGCGCGAGGATGGGGACATGGGGCCGCGGAAGCGGGAGGGGTGCCCGATAGGTGCCGTATTCTTTCCAGAGCAGAGGAGGAGTTCATTATTTTACACCGGTTTTGACTCACTCCAGATGTAAAATTATTGTGCTCACCAGCCATCCAAACAACCAAATTTAGATTTAGGTCTGAAAAATTATCAGACCTGTAATTTACAAGTGTTTTGGACTAAATATCAGCCTTCCAAACATAAGATGTAATTCAGGGACAAGTAGCAACCAGGGGGAGAATCCATGCTAGATAGGACAATGATAATAGAAGGTTCTAGAAGACAATCAGCCTGTTTGGTTTCAGCTAGTGGTACAGCATTTTTTTTTCTCACAACAAACCAGCACTAGTTAAACTTATCAGTCCAGAAATCAATCAGCGAACAGACTGAATGGAAGCTAAGGGCCTGGGTACACGAGAGAGTAGTAATTTATACTTTACTAGCAGGGACCCCGCGCGGGCAAAAAGAGCAAGCTGAAAAAGCCGAGTTGCATGGCATAATTGCAAATTAGGACACTTCGGCTCACAACAATTTGACTGTAATAACAACAATGATATGGAAACGAACTTTATAAAAGCAAGATTGTTCATTACATAATGAAATGGAGCCTATAAGTTGTGAACGAAATCGTTATTTCTGAAACCTTAGACCATTGGACGGAGTGTCCTGAAAGCACACCCCTAGAGAGTGCCAGAGTAGGCTTTGGGTTTGTTTCACTTCACTGTAAGATTGTTTCACTTCACTTCACTTGAATGTAACAATGGTGTAAGGTGCAAAGGACACTACCTAGAAAATGGTGTGAGGTGCAAAGGATCCATGAGCTAATAACCTTGCATAATTGAAGCTTGATGTGAAGGGACTCCATGCCTGGGAAGCAAGCTGCAAGGAAACCTGAGGGAAACCTGAGCAAACCTGAGGAAGGCGCTTGTCATCTCATCTTCATGAACCTAAATGACACTGTATTTTTGGACAAACAAAATAGGAAAAGATGTAGATTCAGTAACCAAAATTTTAATCTGGCTTCAAACTAAAATCCTAAAGTTTACACAAAGTATGGTTAAGCTGAACTAAGTGTTAACTTTATAAGTTCTACATTCTGTATAGTAAAATCACATATAGTGATCTGAGATGGAGCGTTTATGGTAGAATCATATATTTGAATATACTGCTCTAAGATAGGCACTCAATCACAAATACACCAAGGGAAGGTCTACACAATACGGTCAGACACGAAAATAACTGAATTGCAGAATCCACAAAAAATTTTATTCCACTAAATAAGAAAGAGTTACTGCATTCCAGCTATAAAACTAACATGGTATATCAAAATCAACCAATGTTCATTAATCAAATCACTGGGCATCGCCTATTGCACAACTGGCTCACCTAGAATCATCCCTTGTCAAAACCGATAATGTTGCATTTGCACAGGATGCTGCAACTCTTGGTCCTACTTCAGCGGCCAAAAAATGCAACCTGCGAGAATATTAAGACCAGAGATGTGAATAGATCTTTACACAGATTGAGCATGGTCACATATATTATAATGGCATACAAAACTGCACGGTATGCAACTGCGACCTGCAAGCTGCAAGGGTTTACTAACAGAAATTGTGAGCCTATTTGTTTCTTTTGTTCACCTTTATATAATGCCTCCAAGTCCCACCCAATGGCCCCCTGTTTCAGAGTTAGCATCTTCACACTGAAATATTATTATGCACCACCTATTCCTGTATTCTATTGAAGTTGTTATCATCATAACCAGGAAAGTGTGACACAAAGTCTCCTTTTATCTGAAACAATATTCACATGTCTCAGTAAAATCTGAATAGTATTTAAGCAGTATTAAACGATAAGCTCGAAAGAAGATGAAGGAACACGGGTACACATCAATATTTCTATAGTCTATAATGTAATATGTTCAGGAGAGTACATTAAGATTTAGGATTTAGGATATACGCAGAAAACAATTGCAGTATTAAAGGGATGAGGTAGGTTTTGTAGGCCTGATCTGCTGGCCTTTTCTGGATTGCAGCTGCAGTTGTTGCTGCAGAGACCAAACTGCTTATATCCTGTAAAGTGTACTGCTTGTGTTCACCTACAGCTGCAGCAGGAAGATGACAACTGATCCGGATGTTGATTGTGTAGAACGTATATCTAGGGTAATTTAGGAAGAAACAATAGGGATAAAGACATACATTGGGCAATCTAGAGGCATGCAATAGTATAGTAATAACATGAACCTTTATGTATCTGGATTAACCGAATCAAATCAGCATTATCTAACCATTCTAGAATGCTTCAAAGTTGATCAACCTTATAGAGAAGCTCACATCATAATCGACGTTTGTGTTTTTTTAGACATTTGGATAATATATTTCAGTTGTATGACTACCAAAAAGAAAAGGTAATTAACTGATTTATGGAGAAGTTCACATCACAATGTACCATGTTTGAACCATATTACATGAAGATAAAAATATCGGTAATTAACTGGAGGCAGCCATTTCAATAAGAGATGCAGTCAACCAGCAGCTCACATCAACCTACAATGTCTTTATATCTGATCTTCTGAGCACACAATAAACTATATTATTATGACATACTATTATGGCATGAAGCACATATCCTTACGCCGATAGACAGGGCGAGCAAAGTCGGAAAAAGGACATTTGAATTTATGATTTATAAGAAGAAAAAAGAGGTCTTTACTCAATGATGAAACCAAAAATGGGTTTGCCAAACCATTTTGAGCAAAGCATTATTGGATTGGCGAGGCAGCAACAGTACCTCCGTTGGTGCTGCTTGTTCTGCCTTCTGTCCATGCACTCATCGGACATGAAACTGGAAAAAAAGTAGGAATCTGTTAGCAATAATCTCCTTTTTTTGATGCACTTCTTGGCAGATAGCATGCAACAATCCATATTAAGTACATCACAATTACAGCATGGTATAAAGTACGAACTGCAGGAAGGTGGCAAGTGGTAGATCAAAAATTGTAGGGAGTTATATGATCAAAGAATGTAGCATAAATCTTTATATGAACCAACAGAACTAAGGAATCAGGACACTGTTGAGAATGGCAAATGCATGAAGAATTTAACGTTGATGAGCCAAACCTTTTGTTTTAGCAACGACAGCTATTACATTACATAGATCAAAAGCAAAAAAAATCTGATCTATATAAATGAAATGTGGTGAGAAGAAATTCCATTGAATACAACAATACAAAAAAGGGATGACCACATATCGAAATTTGTGTACCTGTGATTTGAATGATTCTATACTTTTTTCTCCACGAACATGTTACCCTTAAATGGGTGTCATCTGTATCTGCTCGTATAGCCTATGCATCAGAAAATAACCTCAGGCTTATTAATCCTGGCAGCAACATGTTGAAATCTATATTCGTGAAGTATAGTGAGAACAAATTCCATGAATATAATAATATAAAAAGGAAAAAATGCACATAGAAATTTATAGAGCTGCTAAATGACTATATATATATATATATATATTTGCCACGAACTCTATGCCATTAAATTACAGAAGTCCCATGAGGCGTCCAGGCATAGGCACTTGTTGGGATAAGGAAATATACAAAGAAAGAACAATAGGTTGCATTTGGCATGAGTTCAGTGCTGGAATTGTTTGAGAAATAAGTCCAAGGGAGTGTGAACTGGCTAAAAATAATATATGTAACCCGTTGGGAACTCTAAATGTATACTCGCGTACCTGACACTGTAGTACGATCGTATCGCAGACGTCCGTCCAACAATCGAAGAAACTATCCAGACAAGAAGTGAAGGTGTGGCGCCGCAAACTAGCTAGTACTACGTACATCGTCCACGTCAACAAATTTCGTCTATCTATATGGTGTTGGAGCTTTAGGAAAAGTGTGCTGGTTAGTATCATCGCGATCCCTGGTATCTATATATTTGTACGTTTGTACAAGTAGTTTAACATTTCTATGAAGGTACAAACAAATGTTGACATGTCCAAGGCCAAAATGATACCGTACGTGGCCCAAGCGAAGTACTCCAATTATTCTAAAAAAATGAACAGGCCCTTTTTTCTTGGCTTATTACTCCACTCCCTGAAGTCTTAAACTCCGAAACAGCATCGTATCAGTGGGACGTGAACGCCTGCAGTATAAGAAACCAACCAGATCATCAACATTTTCTGAGTAAAATGGTGAGAAATTAAAGCTAACGAAGCAAGCAAGTCAGCAAGGCCGGCCGCCGGCGGGGCACGTACGGAGAAGATGTTGCAGTGGCCGGGGTCGGCGAGGTGCGCTAGGAGGTTGTCGATGGGGCCCTGGCCGGTGTACACGGCCTGGAACCAGAAGCCGACGAAGGCGAGCATGGCGAGGCGGCCGTTCTTGATCTCCTTGGTGCGCAGCACCATGACGGGCTCCGGGGAGCCGCGGCCCCAGTTGGCCCAGTCGAACCACAGCCCGCCGGGGTACCCGACGTCCGGGACGGGGTTCTTGCGGTTGGGGAAGCGCGGCTCGATGTCGACGCAGCCGGGCCTGAGGTAGTCCGCCCATCGCCGGCTCTCCGCCCACCCCATCAGCGCCATCTGCGAGATGAAGAGCGTCCAGGGGTCCGCGAAGTACTCGCGGGACCCGGCGTCGAACCACGAGTAGCCGGCGTCGATGAAGCCCCACCGCGCCAGCAGGTCCGGGATCAGGATGCCCGCCGCCGCCAGCATCGCCCACCGCCCGTGCATCAGCTCCGCCTGCGCGAACCACCGCAGCGACTCCGGATCCGAGCCTGCGCACATTAATCGTGGAGAAAATTGGGTGTTCTAGACTTCTGGTTAATAAATAAAAAACCAAACCGAGAGAATGTGCGAAATATTGCAAGCATTATGTTCTGTCCTGGATCATTATTTGTGTTATACCTAGTCCGAGAGGGTCAAATCCAAAGTCTCCTGGAAGGCTGCAAGACAATTCGATCGCGAAGAAATATCAGAACAAAGTACAATGGTACCTCACCATCTTATCCGTTAGATACATCTATGAGTTTATATTTAATAGTATATATCTAGACATCTACAGTAGCTGTTGCATGTCTAAGAGACTCTATGTATACCGTGATATCACTTACCTGCCATCGAGCCACGGCGGAGCGGATTTGCCGGGGAACCAGACCGGCCGGTCGGGGCCCAGCGGCTCGCACACGGTGGACACGCCACCCTTGGTCGCGTTCGCCCGGCGCTGCTGCCGCGTCCTCGCAAACGATACCGCCGCAGCACCCGGCTTCAGGTGTGGCGGCGGCCTCGGGGCATGCCACGCCCGAATGCTAGCACTGCTGCAGAAGATACGGAGCGCACAGACGCACGGCGGCGGCGTTAGCGTAACAGCGGAGGCGTGAGAGAGAGAGAGAGAGAGACGAGGGTGCGCCATGTTTTTTTACCTTGGCTGGAGGCTGCATGCCGCGAACGAGCCGGCGGACGGCAGAGCCATGACGAAGAGGAGGGAAGGGGAAGATGATCGGGGCTCGGGAGGAAGCGTGCTTTTTGTCGGATATCGGATTGGTGTTTCAGGATAGGGAGGGAGAGGGTGTGGCATATGTAAGGAAAGCCAGCCGATGAGGAAGCACCGTTGTATGGCTAAGACCTAAAGAGACCTAAAGAGGCCTTCATCGGCCTGTTAGGCGCTGATGGACCTGTAAGATTCCTGCTTTAGGTTACATTTCTCGTCCCTTTGCTTTGCAAGAAACAAACACGGGTGGTGTTTAAATTCACGGACTAAAATCTAGGGGTGTTATGGGAGTGTTCAGATAGTAATAATAAAACAAATTACACAAGTCCTCAGTAATCCGCGGGACGAATTTATTACGCCTAATTAATTCATCATTAGCACGTGTTTACTGTAGCACCATATTGTCAAATCATGGACTAATTAGGCTTAAAAAATTCGTCTTGCAAGGTAGTCGCAATTTGTGTAATTAATTATTTTTTTAGTCTATATTTAATATTTTTCATACGTGTGTTCAAACATACGATATGATAAAAACCTAAACTTTAGAGGGAGGAACTAAACAAGGCTTAAAACTACATGAAGTCTGACCTTACATGGATAATTTCAAAGATAGGTTCTGCAGTAAAAAAAAAAATCAAATAAAAGGATATGGTACAAGAATGCGTCGAAACTTTACCCATTACAAGACGTCTTTTCTGGCTTAATTCAAACATCACTGTTTGTTCTTGCTACTACTTTGCTAAAGCAGTTTTCAGCGTGAATATCCATTTCTTTTGAAGCCATCTTGACAAACCGAGCTTTATGAACACAACTTGAAAGAACCAACCATTCGAAGTTCAAAAAACTACATGATACATATACATCCACATCTGTTGAAAAAGGGCAGCTAAGTGTATGCTGCCGTGAACAGTAAACACTATCAAAAGTGTACTGTCAACTGTGTAACCGAGTTAGTTTGTAACAAAATACAGAGATAAAAAGTGAAAAGACAACAACATTCCTGGTGTGTCTACGAGACAGTATAGACAAGGCGATCTTCCTTAAATACACGTGCCTGCGAGGTCAAACGTGTAAGAGCTACCCAAAATTTTGCTTCTAAATGTGTGGAAAAGACTATGGCAGCTGTGAATGCTGAGTACTCCTACAGCAATAGTACATTAGGATCGATTACCCTTGTCAAAAACTGTAGTCGATATCAGAGATATTCTGTAACGTTGATTGTTTAACCAGCTCACGCCGCTCGTCGTACAGGTCCAGGTTCTTGCAAGGCACGGGGAAAACATAGCCAATGACCTGCCCCTGGACGAAGGAGCACTGGAAAACATGGTGCTTCTTGTCTACTATACCGATTGACATGTCATGGAAGGTAACATTCTTCACAGGGATCTCTGCGCTTCCCTGTATCCTGACCGGTACTCGCACACGATGCCCATGGATTGAGGTGTAAGAAATATTCCCGATGGTGGGGACAGCCTTTGGGTCGAAGCCTTCATCTGGGTGCTCGTTGTAGTCTGTCTTTATCACTATACCGACACGTACATTTTCCAAGGTTATGTTCCGGTACATGACGTTGGTTACATAGGCCCCTCTTCCAGGCGCAGTCTTTATCCTCACGCCTCGCCGTGAATCCCAGACATGAACATTCTCTACCAAAACATTCGAGACGCCACCAGACATCTCGCTTCCAATCGATACTCCAGCACTGCCCACAGAACGCAAAAGAGATGAAACATACAATCGCATTGGTTTGCTAAAATTTGAATAGTGGTGTTGATTGATTTCCAGATCATGAAAGATAAATAAACAATGAGCACAAAATGCCTTATGTAACTAGCTCTAGTCTAGACAAATAAATGGTCCTAGTACGTATGATGCATCTGTAACATAGAACAAATAACCAGCAAGTAGTAAGTATCAGAAATATACAAACAAAATATCTAACAAACTCGCAACAACTCTTTCATATTATCTGCTTTCAAAAACTCTTTCATATTATCTTCAGGACAAGAAGCGTCATTCACTAGCCAATGATATTTCAAAACACATCATACATACATATGTTATAAAGCAAATCAAAACAGCCTAATCAAGCGATCTAATACCTTACCTGACCATAGAGCGGATTACAACATTCTGAATAGTAATGTTAGCAGATGGACGGCCATAAGCAATTCCATATTGATCCCAACCACTCTTTATGGCTATCCCATCATCACCAACAGAAATGTAACAATTTTTTATCACCACATTTCCACAAGAATCTGCATATACATCAAGAATAACAAAGAGATTGATTAATGAAGCATAAACTTAAAAAAGAGGCACCAAGAGAACATGGACATGCAGTGCAGGTTTCTTGGGCTCCTATTGTTGCTGAAATGTTTAGTGGAATCTAGATTACAATACAACCTACAGGATGCAGCTATAAATGAAATGAATAAAGTTCAATGGGGCGTACCCAGTGCAGAGAGCTCCCGCTCTGTGCGGGGTCTGGGGAAGGGTGTCAGTGGCAAACCTTACCCTCGCCTGTGCAATGCGAGGAGACCGCGACTCGAACCCGGGACCTTCCGGTCACAGGCGGTAAGACTCTACCGCTTGCACCAGGCCCGCCCTTCAAATGAATAAAGTTCAATAATCAGAAAAAATTGCAAGCATTAGGAGTGACCTGGATCTATTCCATCAGTATTTGGAGCTCCAGCAATTGGAGCCAAGATGGTGGTTTCTGATATAGTAACATTCTTGCAGTCGTACGTGTGAAGAGTCCAGAAGGGAGAATCACGAAGAGTGATATTAGAAATGATAATGTCACTTGATCGCATGAGTTGCACCAGAGGACCCCTTGTGTGATTAAGGAGTTTTCTCCGAAATTTGACCCACCAACTTTGACCTTGTCCATTTATGGTACCATTATGACCTATTTTGCAGAAGAGTCAACTGAAATATTATTACAATTTCATGAAAATGAGACTGCAGAAGAGAAACAAGCAATAATGCCAACATTCACTTCTCTAACAGATGAGTCATGATATTTAGCTATATTTGGCATATCATCATTAGAATAATAGCTTCATATCCACAGTTCCACACTTTTATTCTTACAATGAATGCATTGCTTGAGGTCTAATTAATTCACTTAATTCCAGTACGACTTGAGATTAGGTGTTTCCATGAAATAAGTATCAAGTTTAGTTTCAAAAGCTTTTGCTTCCTATGTTTTTGTATGGTAGAAAATGTATACAAGCTGAAATCAATTTGGTATTTTCCGTATGAATAAGAAAAAAAAAAGGAACAAAAAAACACAACCTACCTGTTATAGTCACATCCTTCAGGTCTTGGCCATGTATAAGGCTCCCATATCAAGGTCCCTTGTGCTCTCTTCCATAGCCGTATGATGGTAATGGAGACATTAATGGCCAATATCTTTCATCCTTGGATATAAGTAACATAAAGAAGTCGCCAATGTTAACTCAATTGGTAAATAAGTGCACCAAACTGAAAAGGGTACCAGTAAAATAACACGTAAGGAACTCTCGACGTGCATTGCCTAAGGTTGAGAGAAATTTATAAAAACACAAAAGAGGTATCAGTGTAATTTCTCTGTTGGAGTAAAAGGTAACAAAATACAGAAAGAAAAATACTTGCCAATTACCACTTTAAGTAAATAGGTCAACTCTATACTTAATTGATTAAATGAATGATGTCATGTACATGTGGTTTTTTTTCTTTCATTTGGTCCATGACAAATACAGCAGAAGCAAATGAAATAAAGTGTACAAAACAACTTGGTGGTACATAAAGCATGAAAACATTGAGTAAATTTAGCTTAACTTGAACCAGACTATTGCATAAAAGCAGTGACCAAACTTATTTGAAACCAAGTCTGAACTGACCTAAAAAATAAAAAATTATGTTGGGACTAACCACTACAGTCTTTGGAACCTATCAGACTAACTTTGACATGCTAATGACTTCAGTGTTCAAGTAAATCCCTGCTCAAAGGTCAAACTTAATTCTTCAGCAAATCTTGCAGCGTAGTTGAAAATGACACTAGACAGTTATAAACTTGGCAGGAATTTCTCATACAATTCTAAAAGAAACTATTTGTGTAAAGGGCATTTGCCTGTTCTGCTCAGCAATACTGGTAATTACTACTCCTCTGTCCCTAAATAAATAGATTTCTAGAGTTGTCTGAAGTCAAACTTTTAAACTTTGACCGGATTTCTAGAAAAACCTGTCAAGACTTGTGACATCAAATTAGTATCATTAGATATACCATAGAATATATTTTCATAATATGCTCATTTTATGTCATAAATGTTGTTACTCTTTTCTATAAAGTTAGTCAAATTTAAGATAGTTTGACTTGCATGGATTCTATGAATTGATTTATTTGGGGACGGAGAGAGTAATACATATCATTAAACTGCGTAGTATTTGCCTTACTCCCAAGATTGATGATGAACTCATCGTTTCATGCAAGGATCACTGGTTGCCATTACTTATAAAATGCCCATGATTGAACACTACAATAGCAGAATTCTTTTCAGCTTCTCATTTGCCCAGAGTACACATACTTGCACAAACGAATCCAGATTGACTAAAGATCCGAGAACAGCGTCTTTAGCCAAAGAAAGCTGATGCAAATAGCAGTTAATGTCTCACCTGAATCCCCAGGATCTCAGCGCCAGCGGCGAGGAAGAGAGTCATGTGGCTGGTGAGGTTGAACGGCGCGGTGAGCCACCGCCCGGCAGGCACGGTGAGCCTGCCCCCGCCCCTCTCGGCGATCGCCGAGATGGCAGACTCGAAGGCCGCCGTGTTAACCGTCCGCCCGTCCCCGACTGCCCCGAACTCCCTCAGATCGTAGACGGGCGGGGAGGCCACCCACTGCCCCAAAGACAAAGACGCCGCGGCGCGCTTCGGCATCGGCGGGCGCGTGTAGAGCCGCACGCGGCCCACGGAGGTGCCCTGCCACAGGATGACGAAACCGAAGCCCACCAGCCAGAGCACGACCAGGCAAGCCCTGAACGGTGGCGGGCTCCACTGCCGGTGGTGGTGCGCGGCGGCTCCACCCCGCCGCGGGGAGGAAACGACCGCCGCCGCCGCGGCGCGGGGGGAGGAGGCGGAGGCGGCGGCGGCGGCGGCGGCGGTCTCCAGCATCGGATCTGATCGCTACGCTTGTGGGATCTATCTACAGCGCGCGCACCGGCCGGTGGGCGAAGCGGTCCCGGCTCGGGCGCGGGGGCCCATGCGGGAGAGGAGGGACGCGCGCGCCGGCGGAGGCGGTGGATTCGGCCGGCAGCTCGGTCGTAGTTTTAAAAAGGGTAGGGCGGGGTGGAGAGGGTGGTGCGCGCGGCGGCGAGTGATGATGGTGAGTGGCTGCTAGCGCCGCGGCCGTGGAGTGGAGTTGAGAGTTGGGGGCGGAACCACGAGCACGACGGCGGCGGCGGAATGACCGAGCTGTCCCTGGGCGGTGGCCGGTCAGTTGCTTCTTCAATTTCAATGTAACTTGAGAAACTCAAAGTGCCCGTGCTACAAGTTCACCTGTCGTTCGGCGTGTTTGACGTAATGACTAAGTCTAAGAGGTGTTATATCGCATATTAGGTAAGGTGTTGCATGAAGTCTTCGAATACTAATAGAATACTAATAAAAAAATAAATTATAGAAGTTCTCAGTAAATCATGAGATAAATTTATTAAACATAATTAATCCGTTATTAGCACATGTGTTAAAGTAGCATAACATTGTCAAATCATGAACTAATTAGGCTTAATAAATTCGTCTTGTAAATTAGTTTCAATATGTGCATTTAGTTTCGTAAATAGTCTATATTTAATAATTCATGCATGTGTCTAAACATTCGATATATTTAATAGTTTCGTAAAGTTTAAGAGGTGGAACCAAACACATCTGTAGCATAAACATCCTTTTAGTTTACTGTTCATACATCCGGGGTGTTTAGATACAGGGACTAAAGTATACTAGATGTCACATCGGATATTTAGATACTAATCAGAAATATTAAACATGAACCTAATTAGACTTAATAGATTCATCTTATAAATTATTCTTAATCTATATAATTAGTTTTGTAATTAATCTGTGTTTATTACTTTATGTCCGACATTAGATGGAGGACTAAAATTTAACTAGGGGGAATCAATCTCCGTGGACAGTGGACACTGAAACAAGATGGTGGGATGAGCTGTCACTAGCTGTTCGTGCAGTCTCGAGATTTGCGATCGATTCTGGTCCAACGCTACATTTTAGCTGACAATTGCTATGGTTTACCTAGGCCTTGTTTAATTCATCGCAAAAATTTATACTCTATCCCATTTGTTTGGCGTTGTAAAAGTATTAAATATAGATTAAAAAAGAACTAATTACATAGATTAGGACTATTTTACGAGACGAATCTTTTAAGCCTAATTAGTCTATGATTTGACAATAAAGTACTACAGTAACACATGTGCTAATGACGGATTAAGAGCATCTTCGAGAGTTTGCTATCTCAACTTGGCATCCATATAATTTTGGCAAAACAAGAAAAAATAGCCTCCAACAGTTTGGCAAAACAACTTGGCATCAATAGCAACTTGACAAATCTTCCCTCCATCTTGCTTTCAAATAAAAATATAATGCAAATATACAGCAGATATCTGAACATCCGGGGCTCTTCGTTTCTTAGCGGGGTTCTTCGTTCACTTAGCGGGGCTCTTCGTTTTGTTAACGGGTTTTTTTATTTTACCAAGTCAAAAATGCCAAACTCTTGGAGATGGATTGTTTTTTTACTTGACATATAATTTTGGGAGTTGGCAAATCACAAGATTTGCCAAGTAAAATTTGACAAACTCTTGGAGATGCTCTAATTAGGCTTAATAAATTCATCTCGCGGTTTACCGACGGATTTTGTAATTTGTTTTTTTTATTAGTATACAAACACCTCCTGCGACATCTCATGTGACATCCGATGTGACATCCTAAAACTTTACATCCTGTAACTAAACAAGACCTTAGTCATAGTAGTACATTTATCTACCTGTAGGATTCGTATTAGTTGAATCCAGGACTAAAGTCTAGGGGTGTCACATCGAATGTTCGGATAGTAATAATAAAACAAATTATTATAAAAGTCAAATCATCTAATTAGAGAATCAATTTATTTATTAGAATAGTCTATATTTAATAATTCATACATGTGTCTATTCGATATATTTAATAGTTTCAAGTAGTTTAAGAGGTGGAACAAACACATACGTATCCTTTCAGTTTACTGTTCATCCGGGTGTTTAGATATAGGGACTAAAGTTTTGTAGATATCACGTCAATATTTAGATATTTAATAGATTTATTTTATAAATTAGTTTTAATCTATATAATTAGTTTTATAATTAATCTATGTTTAATACTTTATGTCCGACATCAGATGGACGACTAAAATTTAACTAGGGGAATCAATCTCCGTGGACAGTGGACACTGAAACAAGATGGTGGGAGGAGCTGTCATTCGTGCAGTCTCGAGATCTGCGATCGATCGATTCTGGTCCAAATAAAAGTAGTAAATTATCCATATTACCTAAACAATTAATTTAATAATAGTATGCAATTTAGTTAAAAGTATTAAATAATTAACAAATTCATATTTGTCAAATCATGGACTAATTAGGATTAAAAAATTCGTCTCACAAATTAGTTCCAATCTGTGCATTTAGTTTCGTAATTAGTCTATATTTAATACTTCATGTATATGTCCAACATCCAATGTGACCGAAATTAAGGTTTCGGAGTGGGAAACAAACACAGCCACTCCCCCAAAATCAAATCAACGCCCTCCTGTCTCTTTTCTCTTCTTCTTAAACCTTCGTCTTCAAACTCTCCTTGCTAGTACTACTAGCTCTAGTTCGTCCTCTGATTTTACCCTGTCCTGCTCTACACCGTCTTTACCGGATTCGTATATCCTCTTGGCCGAAGAGGCTTGCAACAAGAGAACAAAGAGCCGCGAGCGCTCACATGCGCCTCAGCTTTGCGTGCAACACCCCCCCGCCACACGGTAACACAGAACCGACGAGGTTTCTAGCAGCTACAACGAGCCATGTGCGTGGGAATCCGCGTGTAGCTGCAGGCTGCAGAAGGATGGAGCCTGGACGCAGGATGCAAGATGCTGGATGGCATGCATGCATGGCTATGGCTTCCCGCTTCCCTGTCAGGAACGGCACTCCACTCTCCACATCCGTTTTCCCTTTTCCGTGTTGTGCCATGGAGAAATCAAACTTCTTGTCTTCGAGAAAGAAACTGTGAATGTACACATCCGGTCGCTTTCCTTTTCACATTCACTTACGCATCCTATTATTGCTACTCGATCAACGGCCTCCAACAATTAAAGGCAGGCATGTGCACTTCTACGTTACCACCGTTTATAGGTAGCTGTCAGGCCACCATACACATTATTACATCCTAATGGCTCCAACTGATTTTTACACTAGTATCAGTGCAATACAAGACCTGGTTCGACTGGGCATGCTATTATATCATGCATATTACGTCCGCCATGAGTACTTTCGGTTGGAGCTAAAATGATTCTTTTTTTTTTTTTGAAGGAGCTAGCACAAATAATTCATTTAGTTAAGGCTTCAGTCGCTGCACCAACCACATCGTTTGAGGAGAGGGCCGGGGCCCCTAGCCCCCTATACTATGCCAGTCACACAAAATCGATCATTAGTTTTTTTTTCTACAAGCACGCACACACAAAATATTCCATCGCAGCTGGTTGCGTTGCACACTTGCAGTGTGATTGCACGGCTGAAACATGCACAAGCCAACAGCGGCTCTAAACGAAGTCTGCGAAAGCGTACTGCCTTCACAAGTGGAACGTAATACAGTACTTGACAATTTGCTGCTCTTTTGTTGACCCTTTTCCTTTGTCTCGTTGGCGGATCATGGATGGATCCCTGGCCTTCAGGCTCAGGCATTTCGGTCACCTGTGATGTTTCCAATCTCCTTCGATCAAAACACAAGGCTCTGGATGTGTGTGTCCTTGTGTTCGTCTAGACAGGACACCGAAGAAATATCGGTAGGGGCTCCCTGGCGGCCGTTTTAAATTAAATTCACGTCGTTCTCTAACGAATCTTTATGCGATCGAGCTCAGACGGCTCAGTTCCAAAACGACAGTTACGATATTCGTATGATATATATGTACCCGGCCTACTTCAATTGACAGAGCTAGCTATTGATGGAGGTTAAGCTATGTTCTTTTTTTTTTGAATTTGGTTAAGCTATGTTCTAGGAGAAGAGAGCGTGATCTATCACCACCGTACCTGCATGCGTCCGTATCACAAAGGGGCGAAGTGAAGCTAGGAGCACCTGTCACTGGGATTGGGGTTCATTGAGGTTTCGTTCTGCCTAACCTCTAAGGGGCCGTGTGGATCCTTTTATTTGGAGAAATTAAAAATTACTTAATGGACTAGACTATTTAGCTTGAAATTTAACATTCCATAATCTTTCTATCTTAAATTCATAAGGTGGGACATGTAAATTGATTATATAGATAATCATGTTATGTTTCTATTCTGCAACTTACAATACACTCTTCGGCTTGCCCCGATTCAACAGAAATGCAACACATAAATATCTCCTTCATATGGGCAACAATAACATACAAATATATTCGCATACAACCATATTTGCTTAATCGATCTGTGTCTAAATTATGATTATTAGAATGGATTTCAATTCTAAGGATCCAAACCGGGTATTAGTGTAATGCCATATTCGATTTTAAATGATAGATTTGTTATTTTATATAATAGAGTTGTTGTGGAAGTGGAGCTAGTAAAAATTATTAGATTAACTGACCTTAATAAAATGGTTCCATGCATGTTCATCCCTAACATCACATATAGTAAGATTATAATGTCTCTGGTAATACTATACATGTGGTAAAAAAAATTAAATTCATCGCTACTTGCATATCCTTATATGGCCTATTTGGCATGGTTGCCACCTGCCAGTAGGTTAATAACAAAGTACTTCATTGAGTAGGTAGAGGATTAGTGGTGGACTCAGTGCAGATCTAGAATTTTTTCGGTCCTTCAAATCCTAAATGTGAAACTAGACTTGGAAACTAGTAGCCAGTTTTTATCTGAACTAAAGAAGGCTAAGCTGTGCTTAGCAGCGGTCAAAGGCGAGAAAAGAAGATGAGCTAGAAACAATCAAACAAGTGCACACACGAGTAGTTCTCTGATTCTGAAAGGACGAAAATCACAAATCTGACTGAAACGGTAATAAGTCAAGGCGGCACATAGGTTAAATTTCCCTGTCATTTCTGATTTCTCATGCAAGGGCGCCACACCTCAACTCCTCAAGTTCGAATAAGAAAAGTTTTACATTTAGGATTTGATGCACTAAATTCTAAGCAGATTTAGATTCTATATATTTAATTTATATAAGAGGTAAAAAGAAGCTTGCTTTAAACAATCATCGTGCATATAATATCTCGACTATCCGAGGTTGATTTATCAGGCCTCGGTGTGTTGGTTTATTAGGCCGATACGATTGATCCTTCCTGGCATGCACTTGTCAGACTGCACTAGAAGCGGCGCGGCGGAGCACTTGCACCGCTGTTGCGGTTGTGCCGTCCACTCAAGACCCAGCTGAATGAGCTGTCAGCTTACCTGCTTCGCATCATCATCATCATCACCTGATGTGTTCGTTTCATAACTGTCTCCTCACCTCAAATTAGCAACCAACAGCTTTGTTTTCAGGAGTCCATGGTCACCCGTTACCTTTTTTTCAGTGCGCTCCGATGGCCGGTCTCATCAGCTGGTCAAGGTTGCCTCAAGGCCAAAAACAAAAAGAGTCGCACCAACGTGTGGTATACGTGACCTCTCGATCCGAGGATGCAAAAGCGACGCGAACTTGTGACTGTACGTATTCCTCACAAGGCTGCCGGAACGGCAACGGACGAGGCACAGGCTCAGGAACTAGCTAGCCACTGGTACCTTGGTCCCACGCTAACGCTGGCCCGCACCCGCAGACCGCAGAGGCGTGGGCGCGTGGCGTGCCCCCACCAATCAGTGCCGGCCGCTGTCAGCCAGTAATCCCCGCCTGCCGGTTGGTTAACCACGAAAGGAAGCCCAAACGAACGAACGAAGCCAAATCGCCGAGATGAGATGAACGAGGGGATTAGATAAAGCGGCCGGCCGGTCTTTAGCTGGGGCCAGCATACAGCGCCCCCCTCTGTCCTCTCCTCTCCTCGCTTCGCCGCCGCGAATCGCTGGGAGTAGCGTACTGCCACCACTCACTCATCGCGGGCTCCGCCTCCGCGCGCGCGCGCGCGCGCGGTGTGGGAGTGGTGGGGACTGCGACAACTCGGTGAGGGTTGTGCTGCGGCAGCGTAACTGGGAGGGGAAAAGGGGGAGGGAGCCGAGGCGGCGGCCGGCCATCATGGAGGGATCTGCCGCGGAGGAGCTGGAGGCCGCGGAGAGGGTGGTCATGCGGTGGGACTCCACGGCGTCGGCGGCATCCTCGTCCGGCGGGGGCGGGGGCGGGGACGACCAGATGCTGTTCGACGGCACCGCCGACCGCGCCGAGGCGGAGCGGTTCCTCCGGGCGGTGGACGACCTCCGCCGCCTGGCGCCGCCGCCGTCGCCGGCCTCCGCCGGCAGCCCGCGCCGCGCCTCGTCGGCGGGCGGCGCCGCCGCCTGCACCGCCCTTCAGGTCGCCATGGCGCGGCTCGAGGACGAGTTCCGCCACGTGCTGTCGGCGCGCGCGCTCGACCTCGAGATCGAGGCGCTCGCGGGCCTCAGCTCGCTCTCGATGTCCAGCAGCGACCGGAGGAACTCCGACGCCACCGAGGCGGCGGCGCCCGCTGGGGACGACGACGACAGCTCCGTGACGTCGTCCTCCGTCGGCAGGCGCAGCAGCTACCGCTCCCTGCAGAGCATCCGCGAGATCGACCTCTTCCCCGCGGACGCAATCGCCGACCTCCACGCCATCGCCTCCCGCATGGCCGCCGCGGGCTACGGCCGCGAGTGCGTCCAGGTGTACGCCTCCGTCCGCAAGCCGGCCGTCGACTCCGCCCTGCGCCGGCTCGGCGTCGAGAAGCTCAGCATCGGCGACGTCCAGCGGCTCGAGTGGGACGCCCTCGAGGCTAAGATCCGCCGCTGGATCCGCGCGGCCCGCGCCGCCGTCCGGGGCGTCTTCGCCAGCGAGCGCCGCCTCTGCTTCCACATCTTCCACGACCTCCCGCTGTGCACTTCCACCGCCACCGCCACCGCCGCGGACGACGCGCCCTTCGCTGAGGCCGTCAAGGGCGCGGCGCTGCAGCTCTTCGGCTTCGCTGAGGCCATCAGCATCGGGCGCCGCTCCCCGGAGAAGCTGTTCAAGATCATTGACCTCCACGACGCGCTCTCCGATATGTTGCCTGACATCTCCGACATCTTCGCCGCCTCCAAGGCTGCTGAGTCGATATACGTGCAGGCCGCCGAGATCAGGTCGCGGTTGGCCGATGCCGTGCGTGGGATACTCTCGGAGTTTGAGAACGCCGTGCTTCGCGACCCATCCAAGACTCCAGTGCCCGGCGGCACCATCCACCCGCTCACTCGCTATGTTATGAATTACAGCACCCTCATTTCGGACTACAAGGCCACCCTCTCTGAGCTTATCATCTCACGGCCATCAGCTAGCTCCCGGACTGCTGCTGAGGGCAATGAGGCTACACCGGCCTTCCCTGATCTTGACCCGGCCGATCTTGACAGCAAGTTGCCCCTTGCCACTCATCTTGTCTGGATTACTGTTGTTCTTGAACACAACCTTGAGAGCAAGGCGTCACTCTACAAGGATGCAGCACTGTCTCACTTGTTCCTTATGAACAATGTGCACTATATCGTGCACAAAGTAAAGGATTCAGCTGAACTTCGGGGGCTAATTGGGGATGAGTATTTGAAGCGGCTCACAGGGAAATTCCGGCAGGCAGCTACAAGCTACCAGCGAACTGCATGGTTGAAGGTCCTGAATTGTCTCAGAGATGAGGGCCTCCATGTTAGTGGTGGCTTTTCGTCTGGGATATCCAAATCGGCACTACGGGAGCGATTCAAGGCTTTCAATGCTGCATTTGAGGAGGCACACAGGGTCCAGTCTGTGTGGTATGTGCCAGACACACAACTGCGAGAAGAGCTTAGGATCTCAATTTCGGAGAAGGTGCTCCCAGCGTATCGATCCTTCCTTGGCAGGTTCCGGCATCACATAGAGAACAGCAGGCACCCTGAGTTGTACATCAAGTACACAGTTGAGGATCTTGAGATAGCAATGGCAGATTTCTTTGAGGGATCTCCACCACCACCGCATAACAGGAGGAGATCTCATGGATGAAAGATGGCTTGAAAAAGCTTAGTCTTCTTGCAATGTATTCTTTAATTCTTTGGGGACAGGCCAACAAATGCAGTTGGGTCTTTTGTTTTGTCCTCCTGTGGCAGAGGGTTATAGTTGGTGATGATTTCTTCGACTAGAGGTAATCTGAAACGGGGTCAGGATCTTGATAAAAAGCTGTCAAAAGTCCCATTTCTTCTTCCACTGTAAGCGATCTTTTTTCATTTGTTACACTTGTTTATATTCTTGTGAGTAGCGTGTTTATATAGGAATGTTCTTTTAGCCATGTAACATATTTGTAAGTTGTAACTTCTGTATCTGTTTGACATTTAGGAATGTTGTATCATCGTTTTGGTGGTTCACATGTATCTGAAGAATGCTGCTTGATAGATGAGGTGCAAAAAGAAATTGTAATGCTAAGGTTATGCACATATGATGCAATTTCGCAATGCCATTTTTCTGGCCTTGAAATATATGTTTGGAGGATTTTTCTGCTTTACATGTCTTTGCGAATAAGGGTGCAATATAGCATTAGTCACTATACAACTACAATGTCTATAAGAAAGATGTTTGCTCATTTCTCTTCAATAATGAGAAAAAGCTGGCATTTACTCTTTTGTATCATTATTTTCTCTTACTTATTTTGGAGACTACTGCCGCACCTTGGACTCCCATGACACACATAAATGTGTGTAGGATTTTACTGTTATGCAGCGAAATGGTAAGTTCGAGTTTCTTGCAGCACACTAGTAGGTTGTAGTATGTCAATGGGCTTAATTTAATTAGGGCCAGTATAAAACCTTATGCTTTAAACCTTATAAATTGTTTACTTTCTCGATCTACTAATAATATGGCATGCTGATCAAACACTTACATCATGTCAATATCATGTTTTTTATTCTGTTTATTGCTTCAAGGCGAGTTAAGCAACTCATGTTACACATCATGTTAATATACACTTCACAGTTCATATAGAATTGTTACATAAAAACCATTCCTCTGGTTCTCTGCAGATTAACTAGGAATTGAAACAGTAGTGAAAGCTACTAAGAACCAACATTGCACTTTAACAAAGAGTTCAAGACTAACTGCTTTATTGCAGCGTAGTCACGACTCGAAATCTGTGCGTATGGCAGTTGGTATTCCATTTAGAGGTTGTGAATACAATTCCCTAGAATTTATTCCATTTAGATGTTGTGAATACAATTCCCTAGAATTTATCTTCAACCTGAGAAATAAAATGCGGTGAACTGTAGTTACAAGTGGCTATTATGTAAGTCGTGACATGTGCTTGGTCGGTTAGTAACAGGGTAGTGATTGAATACCTGTGATGACATGTGGTGCCAGTCACTGTTTCGTTCTCTATTTAGCATTGTTATATGCTGCAATCAGTTACGCTTATAAGCATTGAACTGTAAGGTACTAAGCTAATATCGATGGCCCATCACTTCATCAATTCACTATATTTCACTGTACACCTCTCTTCAGTCTTATCTCCAGAGTGAAAACAACAATGGCCTGCCTTTACTGATCTTTGCCATCAGAATACTCCTTTTTCAGATTGTTATGAACTTGAGAATCTGTTTTCACCTTACCCGCGAGCTTTGTGTTTGTATCCAAGTGCAACGGACTGACTCTGCTCAACCATGTTGTGCAGGCATTTCTGCCTTGATGTGTTACTTCATCCCCGAATAGGAAGAATACCAGCTTGCTACAGGCGCGTCCATGAATTCTCCTCCAACTGAATCAAACATGAGACCGCAGTTCCTGTCTGATAGAATGATTGACTTGAAAAGAAAATAACACCAGTCAGCTACTACCATCAGGCAAGCCAATCATGATCAGTTGACTAATGACTGGTAACACCTACTCTAGCAGTCTATACCACTCTAGCCAGATATTGCACTGTATGGAGCAAGCACAAGCGCAGGATCAGAGCAACGTATAGTAAAGCCAGAAACAGAAACCCCAGTCTCTCCTGAAGGCTGAAGAGTTTAGTTTCTGCTTTACTCGACGCATTCCTGGACCTGGGCAAAGGAAGGGCAGCAGACCAGCAGTCAGCGGGGACAGGGGCGAGGCGTGCCGTGCCGTTTGTGCAAGCCACGCCCGTGACCGGTGACCGTGAGAAGCGCGCGTTTTGTGCCGCCGTGTGTCCCGTGAGCCGAGGCGGCGGAATCTGGGGTCGCGTTTTTGCCGGCCACTGCTTTGGCAGATCCCCATCAATCACCGGCAACCGGATGGATAGTGGTCGGGCGGCTCGGCTCGGATCGGGCCTTCGGGGTGTTGTGAAACGTCACCCCCTGGCCGAATGGACGAAGGGACACATCCATCCAAACGACATCGTTTCACAGGGATGATCTCATCCATTGATAGAGGCAGTTAGGATTAGTATAGACAGTTAACCATTGTCATCAAAGAGACATGGACACACCTCTTCACTTTGTATATATATCTAAGAGATCAATAAAAGCAGTTAGTTGTTCCCAAATCTTGTTCATTTTCATTCACTTTCAACACGTCATCAGCACTGCTCTACTCGGACAAGACAGAGAACGACGACGCAGAGGCAACGAAGGCCTCTGAACACACATCGGTAAGCATGGCGAAGATAGACTTACCATCTCCTGTTGTTCGTCAACTGTTCTTCGCACTTCGCCGCGTCGGTGGAGTTCGCCTTGGCCCGATCTGCCACCATGGCCGCCATGGACAACGCCGCAGCGTCTTCGAGTGCCTTGGGCCTCGTGTTCGCTGCAACAGTGCCCATGGTCATGGCCATGGTCCTTTCGGCCGCCTCTTCGACTCCGCTGTTCGTGGCCTCCGTTCCAATGCAGTTCCTCGCCGCCGCTGGACTCCAGTTCGTGGCCGCCATGCTTCTCCGCGCGATCTCCGTCTGCAGAGCCAGCCACTATCTCCTCGCCTTGGCTTGGACGGTGCCGGCCCCAGCAACGCTGCGCCCGCAGCGGTTGAAGCCCCGGCGCCGCCCGTTGAAGAAGTGGTTGCCGAGCCAGTCGCCGCGTACGTCCCCATGGAGCCGATGTCGCCGGCACCATCACCGCCTCGCTTCTGGTGTGACTTCTGCAAGGAGTTCACCTCGATCCCACACACGCTCGAGTACTCGTACTCGCTGCCGACGCCCACACCAGCCTCTCTGACTCTAGTGGCGACAGGCAACGCCTTTCCCCCGCTCGATCCGTGGTTTCTGAACACGCGGGCTGCTCCCGCGCTTGACGCCGCGAAGATTGAGGAAGAGGACGAGGACATGCTGGCTGCCCCCGGCGTCGGCAACCTCTTCAACCCCTGCGGCACGCGCGTGGCCAGCACCGGCGTCCCGCTGTACAGCTTCTTTGACGCGGCCAGACCCTCGGCTACTCCTCCGGCGGTGACCACCCCAATGGCTCCTCCTCCATCGGTGGCGCTGCCCCTTCCCTGGATGACTCCAGCACCGGCGGCCACTTCCACGGCCGCGACACGCGCCGAAGCTGCCGCCCGCATGAAGGCGCAGACTCTCCCGACGGTGCCTCCAACTTCGACTGAGGGCACAGCCACCACGCCCCCCACGATTCGCCGCCTTCTCGGCCGTAGGGTGGCTGCCGTGGACAGGCGCCCGAGGATCCGCCGGGGGACATGGAACCTGGCCGTGCTCGGCCTCCCGTCGGCGGAAGTGCTCAACATGGCAAGCGGCGGCAGCGGCTTCTTCTCCCCGGAGGACGGGGACTCTTCCTCGAACTGAAGACAAGCAGCGGTGGCGCAGTGGAGGGCGACGGAGAAGTGGTTTGCGGCGGTCTCCGAGGAGACAGCGGCGGCGAGTGGTTAGGGCTGAAACCCTAACCGCCGCTTGCTCCTTGCTTTTAAAGGCCCGCGCGCGCAAATGGGCCAGCCCAAATGGCCTGCGCCCTGCCCTCCCTCCCTGCTGTCCACTGTGCACTCGAATGGGCCAGGCTGGGCCGAAAATGTGTTCCTGATTCTTTTGGCCCAAGTGACTCCTTCTGTTTTATTTATTTCATTTCAGCATTAATTCATATAAGACTCTGTTAGTCTGTTATAATTATATGCTGTAAAATTAAGTACTCTTGTGTTTAGTCGCTGACTTTAACTATAGTTGTACTTGTGATATTTTATCATTGTAAAATATCCATTTATGATATTATTCAAAGTATTTGTCCCTGTATGTATGACAAATCCAATAAATAATATCCTTGTTATTACGACCATGATCTTGCAAATTATTTATTCATTAATCAATTTTGCAATCGATCATTTTATTTAAGCCCTTTTTATGCTTTTGACTTTAAAGCACTACGCGCTTAAATAATGGATGCGATATTTTATGTAAATTTTCTCATCAATTGTATAACGCGCATGTTCCCTATTTGTTTGTTGGCCATATACAAGGTAGCACCATTGTTGCTACTGTGGGATCTACACTAAGTAAACACTTAGTGACTATCCTCAACGTGCGTACCCAACATTACAAATGAGAACATTTGGTCTACATCTTTTTACAAAGATGACTACCATTAATTCACATTCCTATTGGCCTTATACAAGGTAGCACCATAATTGCTACTGTGGGATCTACACTAAGTCCATAACTTAGTGACTATCCTCAACGTGCGTACCCAATTCGTTTGCGAATTGACTAAGGTCTACATCATTTTTGATGACTACCTTAAGACGTGTTTATACAACTTGCATAATTACTTGGCATCTACTGGTAATACAGACTATGCCCAATTTGAGGTCTACACTTTTATGGTGACTACCTCCATTATTTTATTATGCACATGAGATCTTTACACCATTAATAATACCAGATTTATCTTGGCTTTATCTTGCATCCCATAATTATAACACACCACAACATTTTAATAACTTAAAATGTTTTGATGGTTTGCCTCGTGTAGGATCAATGATCGTCAAAGAGTTTGATTTGCTTGCTCTAGACGGCCACAATTATCCCACATGGGCTGTGGACGTAAAGGTTAGTCTTGCGTCCCGTGGACTTTATCGAGCTGTGTTACCACCCGAAGAGGGTGTTGCACCTCTTGATGATCAACATGTATACACGACCCTATATCTCATTAGGAGCCATATTCATCCTGATCTTAAGGCTGAATACTTGTTGGAAGAGAACCCACGAAATCTATGGAATTCTCTTAAGCAACGCTATGAACAACAAAAGTCACTTGTCCTGCCTGTGGCCAACTATGAGTGGACGCAACTTCACTTACAGGATTTTAAAACTGTGAGTGATTACAACCATGTTGTTCATAGGGTTTGCTCAAAGTTGCAATTCTGCGAGAAAGAACCTACAGATGCGGATAAAATAGAGAAGACTCTGTCTACTATGCTTTCCTCTGAAAGGATTCTTCAACAACAATACCGTGAAAGACGTTTCCAGATTTATTCTGAGCTTATACAAACTTTACTTGAGGCCGAAAAATATTCTAAACTTATGGTTTGGAATAATCAGCAGCGCCCCGGAGGGTCTGCTCCATTGCCTGAAGTACATGCTTACACTCAGAATAAACCCAAATTTGATGGTGGACTTTTTAAGACCCATCCTCAGGAAAATTCCAAGAAAGGTAAAAAACAACGCAGACGCAATAAGAAATCCCAAACTCGTGTTCCCAACAAGGGTAAGAACATTTCCAAAAACAGGAATGACAAACCCATGTGTCAGAAGTGTGGTTATTATAGCCATATTATAAAGAAATGTCGTACCCCAAGTCATCTTGTTGATCTCTACTTAAAGTCTATGGGTCGCGGACGTGCTGCACCAGGACAGAAGTATGAAGCCCACTTCAATATTCGACCTGACACCACCAGAAATGAGGCTGGTTGTTCGCAACAAGTTCCAATGGAATCAAGCAGCAGCAACATACGAGGAGGCGAGGATCTTGCTGATACGGGGAATATGATCGTGGAATATGCATCCAACGACATATTTGGAGACTTTGAATAGGCTCCCAATCCCTTAGATTCTAGTGTCTTTATGTCCTAGTGATTATAATAGTTAAAATAATTTATGTCCTATGTGTTGTAAATATTTAATAATGTCATCACTATTTGGTTTGAATATCCAATAAATGTAATATACACATTTGATATTCAATAAATAACGTATGTATTCTATATATCATCAAAGAGTTTCACATCAAATTCTTTATTTATATATAGTTTCTACGGGGGTAAATCTGATGTAGGAGGAATTATGCCTCGTGGACAGTGGTACCACTAATTCTATATTTAGAGAAACAAAGTATTTCCAAACTCTTACAAAAAGACAAGGAAATGTTTTGACAATCGCCAGACGCGATGCTACGATAGTTGGCTCTGGTCGTGCTACTATTGTACTCCCCATGGGTACCCAAATTACAATTGAGGATGCATTATTGTATCCCGATTCAAAGCGTACCTTGTTAAGTTATAGAGATATCCGTCAAAATGATTTTCATATAGAAACCCGTGATGACAATAATGAGGAAATTCTCCTTGTTACTAAAAATAACGGATATGGCAAACGAATTGTTGAGAAAATTCCCTCTTTTCCATTCGGATTGTACTACACATACATCAAACCCGTACCGCATGTTGCATACAAGGTAATTTTTTAGAATGTTGACGCATTCAAAATTTGACATGAACGCCTTGGCCATCCTGGTATAGGGATGATGCGAAAAATTATCAGCAATTCTAAAGGTCATGAGTTGAATACTGCTAAATTTCCAAAATCTTCAGATTTTATGTGCACTTCATGCGATACAGGGAAATTGATCGTACGGCCATCGCCCGTTAAGATCCAAAATGAGCAACTAAAATTTCTTGAATGAATTCAAGGAGATATTTGTGGCCCCATACAACCAATGTCTGGACCGTTCAGATACTTCATGGTTCTAATAGATGCATATACTCGATGGTCTCATGTGTGTCTTTTGTCCACACGTAACCATGCTTTTGCAAAAATTATTGCTCAAGTTATTAGACTTAGAGCACATCATCCTGAATATCAAATTCAATCAATTCGAATGGACAATGCTGCTGAATTTTCCTCAAAGGCTTTTAACGATTATTGTATGGCTTTGGGAATTCAAGTTCAGCACTCTGTCCTATATGTCCATACACAAAATGGTTTAGCAGAATCTCTTATTAAGAGAATTAAACTTATTGCAAGACCGTTATTACAAAATTTCAATCTACCAACTTCATGTTGGGGTCATGCAGTCTTACACGCTGCTGACTTAATTCAATTGCGACCAACTGCATATCATGTAGTCTCCCCATTGCAATTAGTACGTGGGAATATGCCAAATATTTCCCATCTGCAAAAATTTGGTTGCGCTGTATACGTACCGATCTCACTGTCTAAGCGTACTTCTATGGGTACACAGAGGAAACTTGGTATCTATGTGGGATATTAATCTCCATCAATTATCAACTACCTCGAGCTTCTTACAGGGGACTTATTCATGGCCCGATACGCTGACTGCATATTTAATGAGGACCATTTCCCGGCATTAGGGGGGAGATTTCAAGTACCAAAACGAACGCTAGGAAATCATCTAGAATGCCCAAGGCATTTCCCCCTCAGATCCACGTACTCTAGAGACTGAACAATAAGTTCAGAAAATCATAAACTTGCAACATATTGCAAATAACCTGCCAGAAGCATTTACTGATTATAAGGGTGTCACTAAATCCTCTTATCCTGCTCGCAATGCGCCCGAAAGAGTGGAGGTACCAATAAAAACCATTCAACTCCCACTTCCAAAGAAGAGGGGGAGAAGTACGGCCACTCCTAAGGATAATGCTACAAGTAAGCGGTCGAGGATACCGAGGGCTAAATCCTCCAAATCAGTAAATCCAAGC